CGGCCCGGGGGCGATCGGCCCGTAGCGCCCCCGGGTCTGTCCCCGGGGCGCCATGGCCCCACCGAGGCCGGGCGCACCAGCGGGGCCCCGGGCGCGTCGGCTTGCGCGCAGCTGAGCGGGGTTGCAGCTTAGAGAGGCCGGGGCCCCCCGGGGTGCAGGTGGGGATCCGCGCCATGGAGCCCCCGGCCGCCCCCTCGGAGAGGAGCCTGTCTCTGTCTCTGCCCGGGCCCCGGGAGGGCCAGGCCACCCTGAAGCCACCCCCCCAGCACCTGTGGCGGCAGCCGCGGACCCCCATCCGTATTCAGCAGCGCGGCTACTCGGACAGCGCGGAGCGCGCCGAGCCCGAGCGGCAGCCACACCGGCCCATAGAGCGCGCCGACGCCGTGGACACCGGCGACCGGCCCGGCCTGCGCACGTCCCGCATGTCCTGGCCCTCGTCCTTCCACGGCACCGGCACCGGCAGCGGCGGCGCGGGCGGAGGCAGCTGCAGGCGGTAAGACTCCGGGCGGCGGACGCGCGCGGAGCGGATAGGCGCGCAGGGAGGTCGCACCTCGCCCCGCTGGCCGCAGGGGGCGCTGTGATGCGGGTGGGGGTCAGTGTGGCTGGCGGGGGTGGGGGTGGGGGGAGTTCTGCTGCGGGGGCGTCCGGGACCCGGCCCCTGGTGGGGCGCTGTACCCGAGGCTTCCTAGTGAAGCCGCTCCTGGGGGCGACTTAGGGGGCGCTATGCCGCGTGTGGTGTTAACGGGGTCTCGGTAGAGGGCTGCAGCTTTAGGGGTCTCTACCCTTAGTCGGTGACAGTGCAGGACAGTGGCTAGGCTGGGTACCACTTGAAGGGACTTTCCTGGTTCATGGTGTTTGGGGGTGTCCTAGAGGGCACTCTGTAGGGGGCGCCTGCTAGGACCACAAGCTTTCTTCCAAGCTGAGGGTCCTTCTAGGGGGCAGAGGACTGTATGGGATGGGGGAGCCTTCGTGGACTTGGCATTCATGCAGCAGCTGGGGTCAGAAATCCAGAGCGGGCTTCTTGGGGGGCCCTGTGTGCTGGGCTGGAGCCCCCTGGCAGGGCAGGAGCGTCAGGATTCCCATAGATGCCCAGAGGGAGGGAAATGCCCAGGGGCGCACAGTCTCAGCAAGGGAGGGGGAGTCCCTGCCTCCTGGAGGTGACAGTGTTAGTAGGGGGAGGGTGTTGGGTATCCCATCACTGACCTGACTTCTCCCAGCTGTTGGAGTCTACCAGCTGTGGCTGCCTCGGCTGTGTGCTCTGCCCGGGCTTCCTGGTCCTGGGATTGTGACACGGGGACTGTGTGTGCTTCCAGGATGGTATAGTTGTGACCTAGTGACGGTGTGCTCAGGGACTCAGTGATGGTGACAGCGTGACTGTGTGTGCTCCCAGCACCGTGATTGTGTGACTGTGTGCTCCTGGGACACAGGGATTGTGATAGTGACTGTGTGTGCTCCTAGGGCAGCAGTGACGGTGGCACTGTGATGTGTACACTCCTGGGGACAAGTGATTGTGGCAGTGGGACCGTCCACGCTCCCTGAGCACTGTGGCTGAGACACTGTGACATGCTCTCGGCTGCCCCCATTCCCCGTGTCCGGGAGTTGCTGCTCTGAGTTTTGGGACGTGCTCCCATCTGCCTGGTGGGCTGTCTCTGACCACCTGGTGTTCCGATGGTGCTCAGCGGCCCGACTGTGCGCTCTGGTGACATGCGTGCTGACGGCTTTGCCTGTGTGTTCTGCCTGACCTACAGGGGTCTCCCTCTGCTTGGGACGTCACTGGGACAGTCAGATTCGGGCCTCACACTCCTGGAGTTCCTGAGAGGGGACCCTCTGTTGTGGGTCTCTCTGGGGACCTCCAGGTCCCCCCACCTCCCTTGGGGCACACTCCGCGCCAGCCCCCGGGCCCCCACCAGGCAGCGAGTGTTGTGGGCCCAGCGCACACAGCCTGCTCTTTCTCGAAGGGAACCGGAGAGAAGCTGAAGGAAAACAAAGCTAGAGTCAACAGGAAATGCCAAGACCCAGGGCAGCGCGCCAAACCAGCGCAGGTCACTGTCCGGAGAGACCAAGGAGGGGGCTGGCTGCAGTAGGAACAGGGCCCTATTCCCTTTTAAGGCCCCAGGGACTCCCCCCACCCTGGTGTCTGGGGTGCTGACTCCCGGGGGACAGTGGCTTAGTGGCAATAAGCATCATTGTCTTAGCGCTATCCATCTCGTAATGGCTCACTCTTGGGCTCCATGCCGGGGACTTTTCCATTAGTCCTCATCCCGGTGCCCCATGAGGTATTCCTATTGGACAGATGGGGAAACTGAGGCCCAGAGAGGCCACATCCCTCCTTCTCACCCAAGCTCATGCAACCGGGAAATGGCAGAGCTGGTATTCCAACGCAGGTCTGCCTGATGCCTGTGTGTCCTTGCACAAGTGTCTTGCCCTCTCTGAGCCTCGGTTTCCCCATCTGTCAAGTGGAGCTGTGGTTCGCACTGCCGGGTGGGGGTCAGTCTGAGAGTTCTGTGAGATTGGGGATGGGTGGAAAGGACTTAACACAGTGCATGTCCAGTAAATAGTCACTCAGGGACCTGGAGTCGGGAGAGGTGGGGCCTGTGTAGACCCTGCTCCTCTAAGGTGGGAAGAAAAAGCAGGAACCTCAACCACATCCCCACAGGGGCTCAGGTTTCTGTTTCACTGTGGGCTGGAGTAACTGTGGCCAGAGGGAGGGCGTTGGTGCCAGTGTCCCTCTCCCACCCCCCCAAACCCCCCAACCCAGCCTGAAGGAGGAAGGGGGAACTGAGAGGCCTCCACGGGGAACCTGGCTCCTTGGCTGGCATTCTGCCAGCCCAGTTCTCCAGAAAGGGGTTCTACCAGTGCACACAGGGGGTCCACGGTGAACTTCATGCAGCCACCAAAAAGGGGATCCAGAGAGCCCTCCAGACTTGAGTCCCAGGAACTCCCAGAGAGAGGGCACAGCCGCCCGTTCAAGATGGCATCCACAGCCCCCCTCCAGACCCGGGGATGTGTGAGCCTGCGCTCCTGGCGCCCTGCGAGGCTGAGTCACGGCACCGCCACGATCTGTCAAGAGGCAGATGGAACGCGAGGAAAAGAAGGACTCTGGTGGTGAGGTTGGGGGGGCTTGCCTGAATTGAGGGCGGGGCCAACATACCTAACCATCTCCCCCTTTGGACCCCCAAACTCTCGCCACCGAGGGAGGCGCTGCCTGGCCCCAGGAGGAGGTGGAGGCAGTCGGACTGGGGTCTCTCTCTGGCTCGTGGTCTCTGTCTCCACTTGGGTCCTCGCCTCCCCTTGTCCCTGGCGCTCCCAGATCCCTGGATGTGCGCTGGGAACGGGGGTCTCCTCGCGCACCTCCCGTCGCGCGCCCTCTGCTGGGGGACGAGAAAGGCACAGGCTGAGTGTGGGCTCCGAGTCCGGACCTGCCTCCGGGACTCTGGTCCCCGAGCCGAGCAAAGTCCCCGCCGCCACCACTGTCGCGGCGCCCCGTATTATTATTTCATGCGTATTGAGCACCCCAGAGAGCGGGCGCCAGGCCGGCCGACCGCAGGCTGCGGGTGAGGTCCTCGCCTTCCCCGGGTTGGGACCAGGCCGCTACCTGCATCCTCCATCCTCCATCCTCCATCCTCCATCCTCTGTCCTCTGTCCCTCAGCCAAGCGCGGTGGAGACGGCCGCCTGGCGGATGGAGAGGAACTTGGGGGCAAAATTGCGGCCGTGGAGTTCCCGTCTCGCCTCCGCGCGCTCACCCATGCACACGCCAGGGCCTCCCACCTGCGTTTTAACTCCCAGCATCTTTGGCTTTCCATTCCTGTTGAGGAAACTGGGAGACTGTGACTTGCCCAAGGTCACACAGCGGGGAAGGGGAGAACTGGGGTTAAAAACCAGATCTCCTCCACTCCAGATCAGTGGATGAGATTCAGACTGTAGCTCTACCCACTAACTTGCTGTGTGACCTGGGGCCAGCCAGCATGCCTCTCTGAGCCTCAGTTTCTTCATCAAGAAACCGGGCTGAGTAAGATCTGCCCACCCCCAGGGCTGTGGTATGGCTGACGTCCAGGCTGGGCAGCCAGAAGCTGGTGTTTGGAGAACTTCCTCAAAATGACATCAGCAGAGAGAAAAAGGGCGTCCCCCAAAACCACAATCCTAGGCCCGGGCTGCCAGGGTGCCCCCTCTTTTACCAGTAGCAGATTGACTGTAAACTCCTCTGAGTTGTGGGAAACTGAGGCTCTGGGTCTGGGGGAAGCGCAGACTGGGAGGGTGAGGGCAGAGTGTTGGGGGGCATCTGAGCCCACTGTTTTCACTCCTGAGTAACTCAGAGTTCAAATCCAGCTTTGCCCTTGACTTGCTGTGTGACCTTGGGAAAAGACTTGCCCTCTCTGAGCCTCAGTTTCCTCGTCTGTAACAGGGCCATTCATTCCACACACATTGATCCAGCATCTTCAGGCTGTGGCGAAGGATGAGGTAGACCCAGTCTCTGGAGTTCTGAGACCAGTGCGTGAGAAAGAAATAGCAAGTAAAGGCATTCGATAATTCCAGATGATGACATGTGGGACATGAAGAGGGACCCTGGGGACAGGGAAGGCCTCCTGAGGAGGTGACATTTGAGCAGAGACCTAAGTGAAGTGAGAGAGGATGTTATGTGGGTGTCTGAGGGATGAGGGTGACAGGCAGAGGGAACAGCCAGTGCAAAGGTCCTGAGGCAGGAGTGTGTCTGATGTGTTGGAGGAAAGGAGGCAGGGAGGTGATGGGGCAGCTTGTGTAGGGCCTCATAGGCCATGATCAGGATGGGCCTCAGTTTACATCTGACTTCCTGGGAAGGGACAGAGGTCACTGACCTGGAAGGAAACTGAATCGTGAGGGGCCTGTGTCACCTAGTGGCTAAAATCCTAGTCTCTGGGGCCAGACAACTGGACTCTTAATCCAGCTCTGTTTCTTCCGGGCTGGGTGACCTTGGCTAAGTCACTTCCCCTCTCTGGGCCTCAGTTTCCCCATCTTTGAAATGGGCCTAGGAAGAAGTCTGTTCTCGAAGTCTGATCTGAGAAATCAGCAGAACAATGCAGGAAAGCTTGGGGACAGGTAACATGATGACTTTTCTTTCTGTTTGGACCTGGACCCCAGGGCCCTGGCGATCAGTGCATGGGTCTCAGTGGGTTTAGAGCTGGAGTTCTCACCCGGGGGCCATTCTGCCCCCTGGGGGACATGTGGCAATGGCTGGGGACATTTTAGTGGTCAGGACTGAGGGGGTGCTACTGGCATCTCGTGGGCGGAGGCCAGGGATGCGGCCACCGATAGTAGCGCACAGGACCACCCCCCAGGACAAGGGATTCTCCAGCCCCAAATGTCAAGTGCATTCAAAAGAGGTGACGTCACCGCCAAGGGGGGCAAAACTTGGTTCTCTGGGTGGATGTGTGAAAAAAACCAAAAGTTACTTTTATGTATAAAGCCCAGATAGACACACAGTGCAGAAACAGATGCACAGCTTAGCTAGGGCATTC